ATTAAACCTTCGACGTGAAGGTAGGATAACTGCCCCAGGAAAACCATTTGAAGAATCGGACATTATAGAGCTTGAAAGCCTTCGTAATCAAGAAGTCAAGAAGTTTATTACATATGACCCTAACAAACACATGGGTCGCATTTTTAAATCAAGAATGGTTCTAGAAATCAAGGGTAAAGCAACTGGTTCACCATATGAGAAGTCAAGACTGGTAATACAAGGGTATAACGACGAAGGTAAGGCTACAGCTCTCTGCCAGGCTCCAACGATTCAACGTTCAAGCCAACGAATCGTGTTTGCAATTGCTCCGTCACTGTGCGCTTTCGGCATTCATTTTTGGTTAAGGGATATTACACAAGCATATGTGCAAGCTAAAACTCACCTTAATTGCACAATATTAGCACATATCCCAAAAGAACTTGAAAGTAAATTCCCTCCGCAAACAATCATGCATCTTATTAAACCACTCTATGGATACCAGAAGCCGGGCTACACTGGTGGGTGACATATTTTAAGCACCATACAAACAAATTGCTTGTGGAAACGTCGACCTACGATCCATGTCTCCTAATCACTAATAGCAAGGAGTATTTTGGTGTTGTTGGAATGCAGACGGATGATACGTTGATTTTGGCCGATATGGAGTTCTCTGAGCGTGAAGAAACTGAACGAGCCAAGGCAAATTTCATTGCCAAACCAAAAGTAAGATCAACTCCTGACAAGGATCTTATCGTCAATGGCTGTATCTTAAGCCAAAATGGTTAAAATTTGCTAGTTCTTCAAAAAGAACAAGTCAAGAAAATTGCTCGAATAGCCCCTGATTTGATGGACAATTATAGGAGATATGTTGAGCAAAGAGCTCGTAACGCTTATATAGCCTCTATATGTTAACCTGAAGCTACTTTCGATATTTCAAGTGCAGCCCAGCATCAAAGTCCTGGAAAGGAAGAAATTGAGGCATTAAATAAACGTCTAGACTGGTAAAAGAAAAACGTAGACCATGGATTGACCTATGTTCTATTGGAACTAAACAGCGCGAAGTTGTACATTTTTGTCGACGGCTCGTGTGCAAATAACAAAGACTTAAGTTCACAAATTGGAACTATCATAATTTTAGCAAACGAGACTTCAAAAATGGACTATGAATTCTTTTTTTTTTTTTGCATCAGATTTTAATTGCGTATGCAGCTATCTAGCTATGACACAATATCAAAGAAAAGTACAGAAAAGATGACTCAATTTACAAGAGGAGCACTCATGCCTCGGATTTCATTTGCAAGTACCACTGCGAAGTTATGGTGGCTTTTTCTTCACCCCAAGTCAACCCTCATCCGTGAATACCCACCCAGGGAAACGTCTCAAAAACCCTGAGTTATCCAGACATGCCTCCGTCATCCATCAACTTTTCTCCGCGCGAAATATAATCTGAGATGTCTCCTTCCCAAGTGGAGTAGGTGCCCAGGCTACTCAAACTATACCAGAGAACATCACCAGGAGGCGGACCACGGCACCTTCCATCGTTTGCTTGTTTTTATAGTGTCAGCTGCACTCTCGCAAGCGAAGTCTTGGCGCGCACAAAGCTCAACTTGTAAAAACTCCTTGCCAAAATTCAAAATTCCACGCCCGTCGAAACTGTATCCATCCTCTGCATCATCCTATCAACTTGTCCTGATCCCTCTCACATCCATCCCAAGGAATTGTCTTCTAGATTTGTGCGCCACGCTTTGCTTCCTCCGTCAGGTGTAAATATCGGCGTGGGCGTGTATCTGGCGACCAGCTAAGGCCAAAGAAAGTCGAAAAGAAGTGTGGTCATTGGAATGAGGATGTACTAAGTCGTACTTGTAGACTTGATGAAGCTTAGTTGAGAATCGGACTCTTTGGGAGTGAAAGATTGACATGGTGTAGTAGTTTGAATCATTGCCTCGTGGGCCAACTTCTTTGATATTGCGAAATTTGACTGAACTTGGCTCTGGGAGAATATTTCACACCCAGGTTCGTAGAGGACACCGCGTACAGGTGTTCAGTCTTGCCCTCCGGACTATGAATTCGTTATCAAAGGTAATATCATTCATTGGTTTTCTGTCAAGGCCAAGAGAGTTACCAAAAGCGTTTTAGCATCTGAAGTCCTTGCAATGAGTAGCGGAGTTGATATTGCTCACGTCATATTAAGCACTCTACAAAAAATTACAAACCAGATTGAGATTGCCAGAATTACAATGGTTGTGTGTACTGATTCTTACTCTCTCTACGAATGTCTCGTCAAGCTTGGTAGCACCAAAGAGAAGCGACTCATGATCGACATCATGGCCCTTCGACAATCCTATGAGCGTCGAGAGATTATGGAAATTCGATGGATCAACGGAGAATATAATCCTTCTGACGCAATGACTAAAAATGCTCCCAATAATGCACTCACTACTTTTATTGATACCAATTGCCTCAGGATACGTGTTGAGGGATGGGTGAAGAGAACTCCTGAAAAACTTTAATTATCTGCATGAAGATATTGGCCTACCACAAAACTTTCATTTTGATAAATTTATTTCCTTAAATCTGATCTGCGATTTATGATTTGGCAACAATTGTGAAATGATTCTCAAAAGAGAAAAACTGCCAGTGTTTGGAGTATATCTGTAGAACTGGCGTAATCACGTGTAATTCTAGTTTGTTTATGTAATCATATAGATACAGCATCGCCATCTCCTTAGAAAGAAAGAATAGACATCATTCACATATACTGACATCAGACCCCTTGGTCAGATCCAATCATTACCTGTGATACCAACAGTATCATATATACTTAAATCTGTGCCACAGTTGTGAACCTAGGCTCTAGTGATACGTAGATAAGGAGAGACGTAGCTGTGCCAAGGAGTCTTAGTTGGTGACAGAGTAGCACTGGCGTAGTCATGTGGGGTAAGGCTATTACAAGAGACTTGTATATGATATAGCGACATCCTAATCGTTAGATAGAAATAACCAAGCAAGCAATAAATCGAATATTACCAGGATCATTATTCATATCATTCTAGTATCATCAATTACACGATAATATTCCAATAGGTGCATTGTATGATTGACTGTCGTCTCGGGAGGAGCTTTATTACAGTTCGGCATCCAAATAGGTAAAGGACGCGGGGGAGACGTTGGTGACTCTCTGAGAAATGAACGATCCATGACGTAGCTGAAGAGCTGGGATGTGCATCATTATTTTGTGAAGGTAAGACGGCGACTGGGGATACACCTGTAGCGGTAAATAGGGCTTCGTGGATATTTTCTGGGGTTACTGGCCTTAAGCAGTACTCCAAGTTGTCGTTAATTGCCCCAAAGGTGCGTGGAACATTTTCAATACGAAAGAACATCCATGGGGTTGCGCTCTCTATGATTGCATCACCTATGAAGTCCACTGAAGCAATTTTTTCTTTCAGAGCAGTGGATTCGCCGGTTTTCGGGCACAGAGCGAATCCCGTCTTAGTTGCTTGGACTTTGGTCAAGATCGGGCTGCTAGGGTCCAGCTTTGATTCCAGATGTGTCTGGATTGCGTACGCAGAAAGATTCCGACGTTTGTCTCCCTCTGGAATGCGGGCGAACAATCTATCGTCTGGGCGTTGGTGTTGTTTATTAGTTGCGCTTGGATGCGGAGAGTTTATCAGCAAGGTCTGGCTACCTCTAGCCGATTTGGTTTGTGGCGGGGGCGCTTGCGCTGCGCGGTGTGCTGCTCCAGCGTAGGTATGAGTTGTGGTAGCGGGCTGAGAGGATAGTCTTCTTTCGTTCTCGCCTGGGGCTGTTACTGTGGGCTCCAATATTATCCCGCTGATGTAGGCTGAAAAGTGGCTTTCAGCAACATTAGAGAGATCTTTGAGGAATAAAATCAGGGCCTTTCGTTGGTTCTCTGGTAGGCTACTATGGGTAAGATCATTGCGCTGCTGATCAATTGTGTTGACTATGTTGCCGAACAGGTTCTCCACCTCTTTGACGCGGGAGGTTGTGGTCTGGACACTTTAAAGCAAGAGTGCTTCCGAGGGAGCTGCTCTCGAAAGGGTCGTTGGAGTCGAGAGTAGCGACTGGTCTACACATTTCGGGGTTGATTTCGGGATCGTCCAGATCCATCATTCTAATCTGCGTTTGGGTGTATTGCACAGCGTAATTTTGGGCGATCTCGTCGCCCGTTGCGGGCTGAGCACGTACTGGAGGGTGAGAGTTCGGGTTTGTATTTTTCGGTTTTGATGCTACTTTGAGTTGGGTTTTGTGGAGTACCTGGGGTAAAGTGGATCTCTCCCGAGTATCCGTAGTTCTCATTGCAGCCAGTGTGAATTACAGGAGAGTAGAATTTTGTTCCTATGCAGCAATCGATGTGAGTGTATGTTGCTACATTTACAAGTTGCCAGTGTTCTAAAATTATGTAAATAATGTGTAATAGCTAGATAGCTGAATACACTATGGAAAAGAAAAGAAAAATAATAATAAAAAAAAGTTGACAGTCTTAGTATGTTGAGCTATCAGGTCATGTGATATAAATCACATGACAGTTTATATTGCAAGGTTTGACCCCTACTTGCTTTAATTTTTCCTTCCTTACTTATATTATAGTACATGAATTTAGAGAGATACAAGAACAATCGAGATTTATACACGTCACAGCTTTCCCTACGATGTTAGAGACGTGATATCACCCTGAAACCCAACAGAACTTTTCACCAACGGTCCAAGTGATATGATCGTTAGATGAGAATGGATACAAAAATACGAATACTAAAATCAAGGTGCCGTGTGTTAAGCTAATTGATTTTTACCATCCCTATCGATTAGTTGAATGCTACAAAGACTTTTTTCAAAAAAACTGTCTTAGTAGCTCTCGAAATATTGGACCCTCGGCTATAAAGCTGTGAGACGTCTTCAATCAACTGCAAAAGTAAAACTAGGTGGATGATTCTTAATTACGTACGCATGAACATGGCCCGTCTGTCAGCCCCGGGTAATTTTCGGGTACAATTTGCGTTTTAGTCAGAGTTCATTAATTCAGCGATTTCATCTTCCTCTTCAGCTGTCATTAAACTGGGGATTGTTGGGACAGCTTCCTGATGGGAATCACCAAGACGTCTTTTCTCGATCTCCTTTTCTAGCTCTTTTTTCCCAAGCTCCCAAACTCGTACTGTGCCGTCGATACCGACGCTTACTATTCTCTTTCCTTTCTCTATAACTACCAGACCTGTTACTTCATCAAAATGACCTTCATAAATATGCCACAGCTTTCCCGTAGCTCTGCTCCACACATTTATATCCTCATTTCGTCCAGCAGTAACTACCCAGTCATCTGTAACCGCAACAGCCCGTACGTAATCTCCATGCTCATAAATTTCCTGAGCGACCCAATTACTAGCTCGAGATAGACACATTGCAGTTCCATCCGCACTACAAGTCCATAAGTCTGAATCTTCATCGTCGCCTGAGAATAATATCTGGTAGACACTAGTCTCGTTTTCACGAATTATCCCTCGGCTATTCCTCCCCTGAGACGAAAGAGAGCTTGGTGCTTCATGCATAATTTTATTTCCTGCCAAGGCATAAATATGCCATCTCCGGATCACAGGGTCGCTACTTGATGAAACTAAAGTAATATTTGATGTAGTTGACTCGTAAGGATCTATAGAAAGATTCTGGACAGCTGACATCGTGCTGTCTTTGTCTTGAATCACATGGAGTTTCTCTCCTGTCTTCGTAGCCCATACCATGATCTTTGAGTCGGCCCCCCCAGATATAAGAATCTAGGGTTGCTATCAGTTAATGATCAAGACTTAAACTTTTACAGGAGTTACTGACATCCGTTCCATTAAGTTTTGAGGTGATTATAGTTTTGACAAAATCTGTATGGCCCTTGAGTTTTTTTGAGAGTGCCTTCGTTTCTCGATCCCAGCTCCAAATATCTCTATCCCAACACCCGGCGTAGACGATCGAGCTGCCAACTCCACCAATCGCAACGGATGTAAGTGGTGCGGTTGGCCCTCGGTAAACAGTTTTGAAACTTTTCGTCTAAACTCGGAGAATTAGCAGGATAAATGTAAAATTTCTTCGTAGCTCACCTCAACATTAACCCTTCGTACACAGCCTGCGCTTTCGGCAATGTATACACAGCTTTCATTAAATGGATCAGGTATAGCATTAAGGATTTTAGACTGCAGCACTATGGGGTTGCCATTTTTATTTTTTGACTTAGCATCCTTGCGGGCTCTGTTGGCCTCAGAGGCATCACTTTGAAAGAAATGGCCTGGGTCTAATGATTTAGACATAATCTTGTAAAGAATTCAACTGGTTAGATAACCATCTGTTATTAAACTCACTCTGAACTTCTCGCGTGAATATAGATAAGCGTGTCACGCTACCTGACATAATCATGCACAAATTGGTATTTACATACTGGATAAGTATTGTCAAAACACGATGGCGTCACATAATTACCCTCGTCCTCGTCCTAGACCAGCTCATACAAGAGGTGCAACTTATCTTTCATATACGCCCGATGGAACTAAGTTAATTTCGGTGGGATCAAATAATACTACTCGAGTGTATAAGACTGGCTTTGATGGAGAACCTACCAACATTGATGATTGCCCGGAGCAAAACACCGGAGTTAAATCTACTGTATGTCCTATCAATATATAATTGTAAATCTTGACTGACAACATACAACTAGAATGACTTCTTCGTTATTGGTTCCGAAGATGGTAATATCAGCAGGTTTTCTCTTCAATCGATGTCTTACGAGAAATACCTTACAAGATGCTCCCTACCTATCAGGGATCTGGCTCTTACTCCAGACGGGAAGTGGTGTGCAGTCGCAAGTGATGAACTTGCCGTCAAGATTGTCGATACAGAGGATTGTAAACAAGTTATGACTCTCCGGGAACAGCCTAAGCCTATCAAGCACTTATCATTTGATCCCAACGGCAGTTACATTTCCTTGTCATGCACCGATGGCGTAATTTATGTCTACTCTCTTCTGGACAAGGCATCGGAATTGGTGAGGAAGATTGACGGCCTAATCAGAGCTGTCGAAACAGATGATGAAATCTGGACTGGTGTGGTGTGGCACCCAGACGGTAGGGCTTTTGCCGCTCCTACTGCTACCAGAGATATACAGGTTGTATCTGTTGCAGACTGGGAATTTCAGAGAAAATTCGCAGATGGACATGACGCTGACATACTGGCCATGGCATGGTCCCCAAACGGGTCTATGCTTGTATCTACTGGCAAAGACAAGAAAATTCAACTCTGGGAGACCAAAACGCAAAAGATTATCACCACGTACGATTATGCTAACGTCATGGACCTGGCGTGGCACCCCTCACGAAATCTATTTTCATTTTCCAATACTGAGGGGGAAGTTTATATCTACAATAACTTTGTCCCTGGTGAATACTCTAACCTACTAGAATTGCCGCTTCAGCCTGCACCTTTTTATCATGACCCCCTTCATAGCCAGAGCAATTTGCCTATTCGAAGTACTCGAAGGCAATCTCAAGATAGTCTCGACGACATTCTCGGCCCCGAGCTTATAGATGACGAGGATGACTTTGTTGTTGATGATGATGGTGCCGGATATGCTCTCGGTAGAAATCAAAATGGAAAAAGAATACATGCTGAATTGGAAAACTTCGAGAGTGACTCAAAGCGCCTCCATCAGTCATGGGAGCCAAAAATTCACAAGTCATTTCAACCTGGCTCGACACCTTGGCGAGGTAATAGAAAATACCTCTGCCTGAATTTAATTGGCTTCGTTTGGACTGTGGACCAGGATACTCATAATACTATAACAGTGGAGTTTTATGATCATGAATACTATCGCGATTTTCACTTTACAGACACATTCTTATATGACAAGGCTTGCCTGAATGAGCATGGTGCACTCTTCTCTTGTCCTTCCCAAAATGAAACTTCGGCAGTTATTTTCTATCGGCCTCATGAAACATGGACGGCTCGAACAGATTGGCGTACCGAGGTTCCTCTAGGAGAAAATATAACAGCTATCTCAATGAGTGATTCATTTGTTACCGTCATTACCACGGCCAACTACATCCGAATCTATACCTTATTTGGTGTTCCACTCCGAGTGTATAGGCTAAAAAGTAGTCCAGTAGTTACATGCGTCAGCTGGCGTAACTACGTCCTAACTCTAGGAAACGGACCTATAGGCGCTGACGGTCACGCCAAGCTTCTCTATTCAATTCAAAATATCAAACGAGATGAGATCTGCCAAAATGAGGATACAGTCGCTCTCCCACATGGTGCAACTTTGAAAACAGTTTTCTTTTCTGATAATGGTGTCAGTAACGCTAATCGATTGATTTTTTGTAATACTAACGTGAAATACAGGATCCTTTTATCTACGATTCAACGAGCACACTTCTTACATTGCTTCATTGGCGTATTCCTGCTCAAGCTCAGTGGGTTCCGGTCCTTGATACTCGGCTTCTCTCACGGCTAGCATCAGGTCGAAAATTGGAGACTTACTTTGCTGTTGCTGTCTCTGAGAATAAGTTTCACTGCATTATCCTTAAAGGAGGAGACCAATACCCATATTTTCCAAGGCCTCTCCTTTCGGAATTCGAGTTTGAGGTGCCTCTATTACAACAACCATCAGACGGCGGGAAAATAGATAGCGATCACGATATAATGAAGAAGCTCGAACTTGACCTTGTTCTCCATAACATACTCAAAGCTCAGCAACAAGATCTAATCGAGAACACTCAAAGTTCTGTTGAGGAGAGAGCTCGATTACAAAAAACCCTAGTAGAAATAGACAAGACACTACTAAAGATGATTAATATAGAGTGTCGGGAGAGTGAAGAGAGAGGCATGCGCGCACTCGAAATGGTAAAACTAATACAGGATAAGTCGGGGAGGATGATTGAAGCTGCTATCAAGATTGCCGAGAGATATGATAGAGCTGTGCTCATCGAGAAGATTAGTGAAATCGGTGAGTCATTACTAGTACAAAATGCAACTGAAGATATCTAGTAGCTCTTTGAATTAGATTTAGGACTAGCCATATGATCGTGAGTAACCAAAATGAAGCTCCCGCTTCAGAAAACGACTGATACTCAGAAAAATCTCCTCTCTTCGAGATAGTGTGTTAGTAATGTTGTGATGTGATTATTGCATTTACTCTAAGTTTATCTCTGCCAAGTGCTAGGGATATAGTACACTATGCGAGTACTGCACAGCCCTACATGGCCACTATAACTATCGACCATTGGGGCACAGCTCTACACAATTGCATAAAGTAATGTGGGATAGTACGGCATGTAATTAAGATTGTAATACTTCCTACATAGACGGTGATGTACTATATAGTGGGTATCAAATTTTTGTATATAACTCCTGTTTACCACCGTATTGTATTGTATTTTTTATTGTCCTATGAAGTCTATGACTGTGTAAGGACATGAAGGTCCTTTCTGCCAATAGTCCGGTAGTATCTATGCTTCGGGTAGTGTACTCCCTCCTATGCCTCCCGTACAGCTCCTCTCAGACACTACAACCCCTCACAAGCCCTCATTCGACCATACACTCAAAGGAGTCCTTTGCCCTTCATTATCTCCCCTCTCTAGCCAACGAAACGATGGCCATTTGCGGGTCTTGTCTTGTTCATTTGTGTGCTAAGTAAAGTGATTCCCTTTGCACTCCTACTGGAGCTTAGGCACGGGTGGGGCCGGGCTGGATCAGGTTAACTATCACTAATTACATCTACCTCGTCCCACCTCAGACTTCACCCATGTATTGAATCATATCAAGCTCAACCGTCCGAAGAACCCCTTTTTGATGCGCCGAAGCGCAAATTCCGCCTCAGCCTCGGCCACCACGCGCCCGAGTCCTTGACACCTCCGCGATCTGTAACTTTTCCCTTCGATTCATTCCCAGCTTTGACTCACCTCAGCATCTCCTCATCTCATCTAGGGGTTGTTTTCTTCATTGGAGGCCTCATCCAGTCGCCCACCAAGGCCTCCTCAGTTTGTATCCCCTTTTAGTTTCTTCATACAGCATCCCTCTGTCCTTCAGCCGATCTCATCATCCCAAAAACTTTGTAGGATGTCCACCCCTCCGGCCTTGCCCCGTCGCTGCCGTACCTCTAACCGTGTAGGTTGAAAACGCGACTGAGAGCTCAAGATCAAGGTACCGGTGCCCCAGTTTTTGTCGAACGCTCTAGTTAATGTGCCGGCGAAATGTCGTACGTAATTCGTCGGTGGCGATTCGTCGTAGGTCGAGTTAATGGTGCCCTTGGCCGAGATGAGGACGCATTGAAGGCCGGTATTTCGACCGTACCTTCACAGCGACTGGCAGTTGCGGAGGGTCGGAAATCCTCTTGCTTCTTAGTTGGCGATTTGGCTTTTGGAGGTATGGCATTGCTTAAGTGTTGTGATTAAGGTATGAGTAGGTATCACATGTTGAATATTCTAGGGATAGTGCAGAGGGTGGATAACGATTATCAGAGCTTGACGATATGATGAATAGCTTGGTTATATTGTTCTACATATCACAATAGTAGATGGGAGTTATATACACATATTTAGTACCCGCTATACAGTACATCACCGTCTATGCATGAAGTACTACAATCTTGATTCCATGCAATACTCTCCCACATTACTCTATGCCATTGTGTAGAGCTGCGCCTCAATAGTCGATTGTAATGATAGCCATGTAGGGCTGTGCAGTACTCGCATAGATGTGTTGTATCCCTGGCACTTGGCGGAGATAAATTTAGAGTAAATACAATAATCACATCACAACATTAAGTAGGTGGTGAGATGATTGTTGAGAGGGCCGCGAGATGAGTTTGGCTAGGAGTGATTTTCCAGAGAAATAGAAAATAAGATGTTGAAGGTGTCGGTTCTTGTAATACGAACATCAGACAGGTTATAGGTTGTATGCGGATCGTATCTGGGGTGTAGTTGGTTGATTTCGTTGGGTTGTGCAGTCGTGAAATCTCTGCAGGTCGCATTTTCGACCAAAAATGAGACTACACAACTCCTCCCGATCGCCAACTCGACGAAAAATCTCAAATTCCCCCTTTGTCGTGGCTGAATCTCGGCTCTAGAAGAATATTTCACTCCCAGGCTCGTAGAGAACACCACTGACAGGTGTTCTGCCTTCTTCCTCCGGCCATTTGCGGGTGTGTCGCTGTGGGGAAAAGTCTCAAAAACCGATGGGTGTGGGGCTCTCCTATGACGGAGGCCGGCCAGCCGGGCTCAGCAGACCTGTGTAAACCTGAGTGTCGGAGTGCAAGACTGAACACCTGTATGCGGTGTCCTACGAGCCTGGGAGTGAAATATTCTCCCAGTGCCAAGTTCAGTCGAATTTCGCAATACCGAACTAGTTGGCCCACGAGGCAATGATTCAAACTACTTCACCACGTCAATTTTTCACTCCCAACGAGTCCGAATCCTATCCAAGCCTTATCAAGTCTACAAGTACGACTTAGTACATCCTCATTCCAATGACCACACTTCTTTTCGACTTTCTTTGGCCTTAGCTGGTCGCCAGATACACGCCCACGCCGATATTTACACCTGACGGAGGAAGCAAAGCGTGGCGCACAAATCTAGAAGACAATTCCTTGGGATGGATGTGAGAGGGATCAGGACAAGTTGATAGGATGATGCAGAGGATGGATACAGTTTCGACGGGCGTGGAATTTTGAATTTTGACAAGGAGTTTTTACAAGTTGAGCTTTGTGCGCGCCAAGACTTCATTTACGAGAGTGCAGGCGACACTATAAACATCGCCATGGTCGGATGGTGCGGTGGTACATCGTCTTGGCCGGTCTGCCATGTAGAGTCTGGATAGCTCGGACACATATCCCACTTGAGACAATAGATCGCTGGTTCGAATCCAGCAAAACACAACCACTTTTATCGCGGCGCTGGTGTGCATGGATGACGAAGGCATGCTTGGATAACCAAATGTTTCGAAATTCCCTTTGGTGGGTACTTACGGAGGAGGGTCGACTGTTTGTGTCAGCGAACATACCCCATAGTGGTATTTGCGAATGAAATCCAGAGTATGAGTGTCTCTAACGTCAAAAGAGTCATACAACATGTATACATAGCACCGGTCATGTGTCATAGCTAGATAGCTGAATACACATTATATGATTTAAAAATAAAAATACCTGAGTGTCTCTCCATCTTCCTGGCCTCCTCCTTACTCCTCCCTTGATTGTCTAAAACCGTGATATATATATGATCATAATTAAGCTATTCATCATATTATCAAGCTCCGATAATAGTTATCCACTTTTCTCTGCTATCACTAGCCTATTCAACTTTCCATAACTACTTATACCTTAATCAGAACAAATTCTAACACCACAGACTCCAAAGTGAAAGCTGAAGATTCGTAGGGGACACCACTGACAGGTGTTGAGCTTCGTCCCCAAGAATGTTCTTATTCTTTTTGCATCAATTTTTTTACTTTTGCGGCTATCTAGCTCTGACACAATATCAGAGAAAAAGTGCATAATAGGTGGCTAAATTTATTATAAGAGCACTCATGCCTCGGATTTCACATTCAGGCCCCACTGCGAAGTTATGCTGGCTTTTTCTGCACTCAAAGGCAACCCTCGTCCGTGAATACCCACCCCGGGGAACGTCTCAAAAACCCTCAGTTATCCGGACATGCCTCCATCACCTTTCAACTTTTCTCCGCGCGATATGTGATCTGAGGTGTCTCCTTCCCAAGTGGAGTAGGTGCCTAGGCTACTCAAATTATACCAGAGAACACCACCAGGAGGCTGACCACTGCACCTTCCATCGTTGGCTTTTTCTCGTAGTGCAAGCTACACTTTTGCAATCGAAGGCTCAGCGTGCACAAAACTATTCAATTTTTCAAACAACTTTCCAAAGTTTGAAATCTCATACCCATCGAGATTGTATTCTTCCTTTGTATCATCCTGTAAACTTATCCTGATTACTCTCACGTCCATCCCAAAGACCTTACTCACAAATTCATGAGCTGAGGTTTTTGGTCTCCTATGGGTAACCGTATGGTCGTGGGCGTATATTTAGTGACCGGCTGAGGCCTGAGAGTAGTTGATGAGGTGCGGCCATTGAAATAAGGATCTACTTAGTCGTACTTGTAGACTTGATAAGGCTTTGGCAGGAATAGATCTCGTTGGGAGTGAAAATTTGACATGATAGAGTAACTTTAATCATTGCCAAGTGAGCCAACTTCTCCGGTGCTGTAAAACTTTAGTCAGCTGAGCTTTGGGGGATATTTCACTCCAAGTAATATATTAGGCACCATGAACGGTTTTTCATACACGGGCAGTAAAATACAACGCGCGCCCCATTCACACAACCCGCGACTACGTTAAGAATGAATCGTGGTTTTCCAAGAAAATTGCTTATACCTACCTATTGGTCTCGACGTCACCCAAAACTCCTTTTCAAATCAAAATCTTTTTCACGATGATATTTCTGAAAATCAAAGCCCCGGCCCCATTCAACGGTCTCTCCTCGAAGCCGCTCAATTAGCAGCCTCGAGAGCTCGTGAAGAAACTTTGTTTGGCTCATTAGCCCGACTTCTCGACGAACATTGTTCTTCTCACGCCCGCGCTATTTTACCAGAGCCTCAAGCTCAAGCCCTCCGCAACTGCACCTTAGAACTAGCAACTATTGCTGCTAAGCACTTCAACGCATACATGTACGGTACCTCAACTATCGAGATATCTAGCCCTGTGAAGACAGCGAAAGTAAACGTCTTCCAAAGCTACGCAGGTGCCGCCAAAAGAGGCGCATAGAAGACCCCTCCCTCCAAAAAGAAGCTAAATGCTCACGTACGAAATAAAGACGCTAAACCAGACGACAGATTGTTCGTTCGCCTCCCATCCAACAGTTCTCTGCCCAACGCATCGGGCTATGCAATACAGACGCACATAAAGTCTAAGCTTGGCAGCCAAAGTAAACATCTATCAAATGTTGTGTCAACAAAGACAGGGTTTGCTCTCCGCCCGAGCGCTGGTAACGCCGATGCCTTAAACTGGAAACTGGCAACAGTTGATCTGTTTGGGACAGCTCTCATTGAGAAAGCCTCGCCCTGGAATTCATACAGGATTAAGAATGTCCCTCGATTCTACGGTACAATAAACCAAAATTTGCAATACTGCCTCGAACCAGTCACGACCGAAGCCGTAACAGCTGCTGTAGCAACAGCAGCTAGCGCTAACCCCGTCTCCGTGCTCCCGTCCCAGGATAATGAGACGAACCCAGACAGCCCAGACACAACCTGGATTGTTCGCTTTCCTCAAGAGCATAGCCGTCTTCCGTGTATTCTTTATCTCTTTGGGTGCCGCGCCGTCACCGGAATCCTTCCTAAACGCTCGTCGGTTGTACAGTGCAAGCCGTGCTATCTCTGGCACAACAGCCGCGCTTGTTCCTCTGCCCCAAAATACCGCCTTTGTGGGTCCACCCAACACACAGAGAAAGACCACAATAACCTCTGCGCCGCACCGGCTGGACATACCTGCCCGCCGCGAAGTGTGCACTGTCACGGCCCTCATTCAGCAGACGATCCAGCTTGTGAGCTACGGCCACAATCCTCTAATCCTCCAAAGACAAAATCACAGGTTTTCGCCATCCGGAAGATATCTTCTGAGGCGCGCATCCGCCGCCAAGCAGAAGCTGGATGCGTTAAGCATTCTGCCGCTCCGCAGGGCTCCAGCACCTCTCACACAGCACAGCGCACTAGCTATCCTGCAGTTTCCCGAGTAGCAGGACCATCAACACTATCTGCAGCCGCATCTAAGCGGACTATTTTCCTAAACTATTTTGAGATCTTGAAGACATCGGCCGGGGCGTCAGATGAGCAGATGGAACTTTGATAAGATAGAAGTCAACGTGGCAACCTTTCAACTTGCTTTGTACCAACTCATTACGTACTAACTTGTCCTCACATCCGTGGGTATTGCATTTACACCAAAGGGGTTTATTTTTGATTTTTAATTTTTTTCCCTTATATATCATTCATATCATTTACCATAATTGTATCTTAGTCATCAGATACTCTCTTATTTTGTAGATCAGGTCTCATGTCCCTAGGTCAGGGAGTCGTGGGCCTCCGACAACTGAGGCAGTAAGCTTTGGCGTCCTTTTTCCATTTGGATTTTAGATAAGACGGGCATAGGCCCGTTTCTAGATAGACGTTAAATATAAAACAAACAAACAAACTTTTTTTCAATCTTCGTCCGCCAGGAGAATTAATAGAAGAGCTAGTAAATCAAATTGTCTGTCTTTTCGTCCCTAATATGCCAGGTAGAGGGTTATTATTCTCAACATCTGTCAGTAGTGCCCGCTACGAACCTTCAGCTCTCACTGTAGGGTGCGCAGAGCCGAAATTGAATAGCAAAGTCCTCACATTGATGTGAATTCCCAATCGTTTTTGTGGTCTCTGTCGTCTTCATCTCTCAACATATTCCCCTATCACCATTATCATGAGGCTGACCACGATCAGATCAGATGGTAGGGTCGGAGCTCTTCTCATCAGCAACCCTTGATCATGGAGGAAAAGCCATCCGATGAGTTTCCGGAGCTTACCCAGTACCGGATGTGGAGATGGCGGATTGGATCAAGTCGGCCTCGACTGTTACAAAGAAGGGAGATGTAGATGAATATGCGCACCTCATGTGGTCCCGGTATTTAGGCCTCGCCTGGCTGGGGCTGCAGGTTTTTTGAGACTTTTTCCCGCGCACACTAATTCCATTGCTTCCGTTTTTTTTGGGGGTTAGAAGGTTCCGTGGAAAAGGCGGCCAAATTCCACGGGTAAACACTAAGCTGAATGGCTATTCATCACGGGCAATATACCAATGATCTTTTAAGGAATATAAGATGCAAGGAGCACTGTGCAAGTTGTTGACTAGGTCTGAGAGAAGCCAAATGTGTTAATATTCATAGACCCAAGTAGCACAATAAAGCCACACGTATATACCCAGCGCAAACCTAGCAACCTTTGAGCGTGGTTCCATAATAATGACCTTGCAACTGTCGATATCATAAAGAATGCTTTAATGCTATTTGACAATCACTGACACAATTACACAGGTAAGCGGGGACCTACTCCAAATTTGATTAAAGTGGTGGAACTCCGTGTATCACTTGAGTTTCCTCCCATGACATCTTGAACATAAAATTAGATAGAATCATTAAATAAAATCTTCATGCTTCATCCATACACTAACCGTGAGACTCCAGCAATGGATAAATGAAGAAAACATGTCGTCATTCCCATTACGCTCATCAATGAATGAATGAAAATTTATTCGTGTTAGGCACAAGCCCTGCACTCAAAGAGCATGACATGGAGAAGACTAGCTTCCCGACGACTACATATGACGATAACTCAGTTTGAAATTCGGACTACTCATGTAGTGGGTACATTCGCTGATACCACTCGAGACCTTGGTGCTAGGGACTTTCACCCTTCCCTCAACCTTTAATATCTACCAAAGGGAAAACAGGAAATACCTTTGGCTACCCTAACAAGCCTTTTTCATCTTGTATATAGCCACCGCGCGAGATATGGCCTCACAGTCTCCCTTTCTCGAGTGAGGTAGATGTCCAGGCTACCCAGACTTTAAATCGGGGAGATGACGACCAGGAGGCGGACCAATTCACCTTCCATCGTTGTCTGTTTTTAGATTGTCGGTTGTACTAGCCGAAATCGTTGCCTTTGTGCTCACAGATACTCTTAAGTCGAAAATACTCGAAAAATGTGCGTGACAGCTCCCTGTCATCCCTCAAGATGTGAAACTCCATTAGAACAACGGTCCCCCATAGACCAAATCCCGAGCTTTGTAGATTATGACTTAATTTCCTCCTCGCAGGTATACAAAAATCGTAACTTTTAAGTGGGAGATGGCAGTTTTTCATGAGGCAAATGCCCGATTGCAATTGGAGTAACGTCCTTATCGGTATTCGAGGCGAGGTGGTGTAGTAAGATTGAGGTAGAGGACTCGCGTGAGAATGATGGATCCGACATTGACGAGAAGTCGTCGATTTTAGATGTCCTTGCGAGTGCAATCGACTTCGATTTGGATGCGATTCTTCTTGGATATCCCAGAAATGCAGAACATACTGAGCGATTATACCGGCACCACTGGAAGGTGAAGAACTCGTCTTTGCCAGCCTCATTACGCTCACAATGTGTGACATTTGCTTGATGTTTTGCAGAAATCTGTCGGACGATTTTTAGGCCTCTTTTAATCCTAGCATGATAGTAGTTTAGTTTGCCACAATCTTATATTGGTTACCAGTTCAGTCAAAATACGACCAGGCTATCCGACCAAGATCCCTCATCTGCCTGCTTTAATCATACAAGGTTTGAATACTACCAAACACAACCTTGTACAACTGATTTTATAGTTTAGCCAAAATGTGCCTAGTGGCCAATTGTAGAATTACCGACGTTAGAAATTCTCCAGAATCTGCCGCATCGATCCCCAGCCCGGTTAACCCATGTCTAAGTGGAAAACATAGGCGACCCTGTTCATGATAATAACTATAACTAAGGACCCATCATTACAGGCATCTTTCACATTTGGGCAAGAGAGATGTTATCTTCAAATCCAATGATTCTACATACAGCAACTTAATTCTAATGTGACCGTAGACAAACAAGAAGTGCAGCTGTTCGTCAGCATAGCTCTTTCTCATGGACTGCTCATTTAAGCTCATTGATAGCGTGACCCACAAGCACCATTTCTAGTTCCTGTCTCTCACATGACGCGACTAAATTGGGAGGTTAAGGTGTTGCGTTACCGCCAAAATAGAGTGAATAATTTTTGCTTAGACATTAGCGGCTGAGATCTATGGCCAAGGGTGGCAGGGTTTTCCTGCTTCATCTGATGGTATGGTATGCCAGTTAGCCGCCAGGCATCTTACTACTTATAAATCCAGAGTAGAAACTTGAAGCAAAGCTAAAAGTCTGTGAACTATTCTAAGTATCCAGTTGATAAGATGTTTGAGCTGGTTTAAAAAAACATGTTCACTTTTCAGCCAGTTGCGCTAGCTTTCTTCAAATGGTACCTTGGATAGCCTACCCAAGCCACTCGAGGGAAGGCTGTTTTTTGACACATTTGTAATCAGATGAGGTCTGTAGCACAACCCCGTGATTCTATAAAATTAAACCCAATTATGTAGCATCAGTAAAGCTTGACAATCCGTGGGTTCCATAGATCGTAACTATCTTTGATTTGTCGAAGATCTTTGGATTCAAATTCGGCTCTCTCTCCTTTTCCCAGAGCATAGTTCTTGCTACTCGTGCAAGGGCTATCTTACTGGCCCTGTCGATAATCTATTCCATTTTAGGAAAGGGCCCGTTTGGTCATCCAACCAATGGCCATAGTAGTTCCCCCCATTTCACTACGTGATTTAACCACACTTCTCACCATCAGCAGTCCTCAGAATCCTACTAATCAAAACCCAGCCAGACTCCGCTGTTCACAAGTCGTTAATATTTCGCATTACCTGGCGCATGGGATAATTGATTCGAAACAGTGACTCCTTTGATAGCTCTCGAGCATAGCCGTTCTTTTTTCAACCTCCCCGGATTGCCGACATAATTATCATCTGGTCAGCACCAGGCACTCATTCATGACGGATAGCCAAGAATGTTCACAACCTCTATGCCTCAACTGGCCTTCAAGTCACCGCCACTTGGTCTTCATTCCCCTCCAGACTCGAACGCATTGAAAGATGGAAGTGATTCAGAGCTTTCAGACCTGGAAATGGATTTGGATCCTTCCTCTAACTCAGAATTGCACCTGGAGCCCAAAGAAATAATCGACGGCGTTCCCGTCTTCGCCCCAAGCATGGAGCAGTTCCAAGATTTTGAAAAGTGTGAGTTGCTTGCTCCTCACCTTTGACAAAATCGAGAGTTAATGGCATTTAGTCATCACCGCAGTGAACCCATGGGGTATGACTCATGGAATTGTCAAAGTAATACCACCCAAAAAATGGCTCGATGAGCAACCGTCCCTTCACGAAGAAGTCAAAAAAATAAAAATCAAAAACCCCTATATCCAGGAAATGAATAATCAAGGTAGCAGAGGCACAACTGGAAACTTCCGACAGCTAAATTTATCTTCCAACCGTACTTACAATATCGTGGAATGGCGTGCTCTTTGTAATCAGCTCAGTCGGCAACCACCAGCTAAGAGAGGTGAAACTCGGAGGGCTCCAGAAAAGTTAGTCAATGCAGCCAAGAAAAAAGTTGAATTTGGTCGACCTTGCGAAAATAGTGAAAGTACTGTCGGAAGAATGAGCAAGCCTAGCTTGGGTAAAAAATCTAAATCAAAGCCCAAAGAAGAAGAGGTTTCTGTCAATTCACGGCGAAATAAATACCGTGAAGATGATACCCTTGTTGACGAAAAAGCATTCAAAGACTTCGATTATAATCTCTATGAAGAATTTGATGATGAGCGGTGTCAAGAATTAGAAGTAGCCTACTGGAAGCATATATCCTACGCTCCTCCAATATACGGTGGAGACATGCCTGGAACACTTTTCACGGACAAGACTAAAGTTTGGGATTTACGAAACTTGCCTGGATTTCTCAATTACTTAGACGAAAAAGTACCCGGTATCAACACCACCTACCTATACATCGGATCATGGAAATCGACGTTCTCATGGCATCTGGAAGACGTTGATTTGTATTCAATAAACTATCTTCATTTTGGAGCTCCAAAGCAATGGTATAGTATATCTCAGGGTGATCGAGAGAGGTTTGAAAAAGCAATGGCTATAAAGTGGCCGGAAGAATACAAAGATTGCAACCAGTTTCTCAGGCATAAAACTTTTCAAATCTCTCCAGCTGCACTGTTGAAAGAGTTTAAAATTAAAGTGAATAAGATTGTCCATAGGCCAGGCGAATTCATGATAACATTTCCATATGGATACCACGCAGGATACAATTTGGGGTACAACTGTGCGGAGGCAGTAAATTTTGCTGTCGATGAGTGGATACCAATCGCTGAGAAGGCTAAACGGTGTGACTGCGCGCAGCAACAAGATAGTGTATGGGTTGATCTCGATTCACTTCGGAAAAAGTTGCCTCGCACTCACAAGTGGTATCTCGGCGAACCTGGAGAGGAAGAATATTTCGAAGAAGATGAAATTGACCAGCCGACGGATATGCCCACACCACCTCATAGTGGCAGTGACATCAAGATCTGCCAGCCGCGCAAACGAAAACATATCACTCCCAAAACGCAAATTCGACCACCTAAGCGTCGAGCTACTGTCAAGGTACCCGAAGAGCCAGATTGTATTCTCTGTCCAAACGCAGGATTTGAAATACTATCAACCGACAATGGCAAGAAAGCGCACCGTATTTGCGGGGAATATATTCCGGAAACATGCGTCGTCGAAGACGTTGTTCATGATATAGGCTTCATATCGAAGGCTAGAATGGGTCTTAAATGCATCAATTGCCGCTCGAAAAAAGGGGCATGTTTTCAGTGCTCTGCGGCAAAATGTACTAGAGCTTATCACGCTACTTGCGCTGCTGCTTCAGGTGTTCTGGTACAAAAAGTCTGGATCTCTAGCTATGTCGAAGATGGGACAGAATACAAAGAAGAAATATTTGATTTTCGATGTCGCTTTCATCGCCCTCGGCGCGATAAGGATATCGACGAAGTGACTTTATCAGAGGATTGTAAAATAAAGCAGTTCGGATATGGGCTGGAAAAAGGTGATGTGTGCCAATTTCAGTATCTCCGCTCTGAAATCTTTGCTGGCTTAGTTATCTCAAACAATCGTTCTGAAAGTTCAGTAACAATAAATGTCTTATTTGATAAGACCAAGTAAGTAATACCAATCCACTTTAATGCCCTTTCCAGCGCTAATCATTGAGTAGTACTTCTATCGAGATCGACTACAGGTGGCTGCTCGTCCCACCACTTGAGCAAACATTGCAGAAGCCGTCTTCGGGCGCAATACCCATGCCTAAGTCATTCAAGGCTAAAGAGTCATTGAATACGAAAGCAAGGCAATTTGATGACGTACCAATGACACGTGATTCATTCGTCGAAAATTTTACTTGGGCAGAATATAAGATACATGATCTTGATCCAAATCCCGAACAGATTCCGATTGATTTATCCAAGGAAAATCAGATATGGTATTACCTTGGTAAAACATCGACTGAAGCCAAAGCCCAATTCACCGAGGACATTACTAAGCCACGAGATAATCCTAAGGGTCATTTTCTAACCACTGTGTCCAAACCTTCTCCAGCTCGCACAAAATCTTCTCACAATTCTTCTCGTTCCTCGAAAAGTTCGGGTCATTTAGCCAGTAACCTGCTTCGAAGCTTGACTAAATCAAACTTAGAGCGTGCTGATAAAATTAAAACACAGCAAAATAAACTAGCCTCCAAACCGCACCAGCGTACCAAAGCACTGCCAGATATAACATTATCATCGCACAAACGTCCCCCTAAACTTACGAGTGATAGACGTGCAACAGCTACCTCAATAAAGAACAACCGAAAAAAGCTGAGTAGCTTTCCAACTCCGAACTCTGGGCAAAAGCACCTAAAAAACCAAGGCCCGAAAAATAAATCTATCACTCAACCCAATGGATTAAATTCTCTCCCCCCTCTGAGTCGTAAATCACAGCCTTCACTTCTTCTTACACAACCAAACTGGCCCTCCCTTAATCCTAAGGTCCCGAATTCGGTCAAGACATTTGATAAAAATAGGTCGTCTCCAGTACCATGTTCTGCACCAAATGGAGACCAACAGCAAATATTACGCCAAATAAAACCTCGTCCATCAGGCACTCGACCACTCAATGATACAGATGAACCGGTCGTTCTTCCAGCTAACAGTTATAAGCCGACGTCTATCTTGAGTCCTTTTATGAAATACAAGTACTTACAAATCGAACATAATAAAGATGTGCGGAGTTACAAGTCTCCATATCGTATTGGTGGTGGGTTTTCGAATGGCTACGAGCGAACTAAAAGCAGTTTGAAGAACCAATATTCGAAGACAGAGATAAATAACATGAAGTTATCATCGAATTACCCCGTCACTGCTCCTTTTGCAGGAAAACGTGAAATTCTCGAATCCACGGTCAGAAGGAATTACAACCCCTATCAAGATCCACGCTATTCGAACATGTCAAATAGCAATAGAAATAGAGGATTTAAAAACTATGACAACCAATCACTACCAAATAAATCTCCTTCGAATGCTCATAATCCGAACGCTGCTAAACAGCCGCAGCTAAGTAAATCAATACTTTCCATGAATATCGAACCAGCCGCAAAAGGCCCATCGCATTCACCGTACGTAAGGATCACGAATCGTAGTAATAGCGTTGCAGCAATTCTGAATGATGAGCCAAAACGTAACAGCCACTCATCGCGATGTGATATTTCTTACCCAAACAACCAGCTAAAAGTCTCCAGTCCACAAGCCCGAATTGAGAATTCTTACGAAGACAGACGAAATGTACCAGATTCAAAGTGTCGTAAGAGTTGGCAAGATATTTGTCTCAATGAAAATCCAATTGAGATTCCGGGTTTGGGACAATTGACTAATAATACGATGGGTAGGCAGCATAGTTCTCGCCATCCCCAAGCTCACGACCAAATTAAAAGTGAATCATATTTGAAGTCTAATAACGACATTATCCAGAAAGAACAAAAGATCAAATTTCCATTACCGTCCGCGTCAGGATTTCTCCGACAAAACTTTCAAAACTCATTACTTTGCAACAATGAGCCTAATTTCCCTGATGTTCCGCCTGATATTTCGACACTTATTGAGCGAATGATGAATAACCTCAAAAAAGCAAGTAACCATAATAATGGTATGCACTGAAATATTGTAGTATCCCTTCACACGAGAGAGATGATTAATGCTCTTCAGTAATAGCTGGGAACTAAAGTGATTCGGGCGTTTGATGTAGTTTGTACTATGGGGTAGTATGCAAGTTTCTGAATTCAAGGTTAAAACGGTACATACAGCGAAGGAGTTTGTTGAATTTTAATGAAGGCACACACGGGAGACTGTCAATCAAAATTATTATCTTTCAGTGACGATTTTCCTTCATAAGCGAATATTATTTTATCCGTAGACAATCTTCGTGCACAACTGTTACATAGGTTTCACAATGCAGGGACGTAGTGGTTTCTACTCGTGCTATGATACGTTATGACTAACATTGGAACGTAACGATTACATGCGGTCATGCATAAATTAGCATGAGTTACAGCTGATAGGTGTCATGAATGCGTTTTTCACATTAGTAGTAAATCGTCATCCACGTAGTGTAGCATGCAGAGCCAGGGAAATGGAAACAGGTTAATGATAAATTAGATAACACCGATCGCTACACTCACCCGTAGATCACTCTTAAAGCAGACTAGCTACGGCGCTATCTGGAAGTATGTGGGATTGGTTAATTATCATGTAGATAACCTGTAACATAACACAACAAAATAACACAATAAGATACCATTCGCATCCCGTAACATTTATTGCCATAATCACCCAAGTAAATCCTAAGCCCCTGAGTAGTCACAACCATTTAATTGAAGATACCAAGTGTATACAACCATATACATCACCACCCTTCAATAATAGGAAGGAATCAATTATTCTGAAAATATTTCTGTTAATCCTAATAAACAATTGGCATAATATCTCTATTGATTCGACAAGCCATCATACTTGGCTTCTCAATATTTTTACCACCTCGAGATTAGCATTGTCACACATTCTTTGAACGTGCTCTTGTCTTGTTTGTTTATTCATTGAACGTGCACTTTTTGACGCCAGAAGGTACTCCGATGGAACGCCTAAGCGAAAGCGGTCCATCAGAATATCACTAATTTCAATTTATCTACCAGATATTGACTATTGCTATTTCATGAGAAACATGATTACGGACCTCATTATTATTTATACCACACTAGTCGTTGTTCCGCAATTTGTAACTCGAGCCTCTACTTTGGCCAATGTCGGCCCAGGCACAGCTCTTTTTTGTATTTTTGTTTTATTGTCCTGTCTGAGTCTATGATTATGTGGGACATTCAGGCACAGCTCGTTGCGCTGTTTAGCTCTTGTCACCAACGTAGCAAGCAAGGTTCGGATAAGAGACCGCATAGGGCTGTGCCCTGACATCCAGGGCTAATTTTCAGGCTTCGCTAATCAGCGTCAAGGTCAGGGGTAGCAATCCAATCTGGCGGCACTGATCATGTGCTGAGCGGTCTAGAGTAGCAAAACCAGCTCTAGAAACAAGCCTAATTCGTCTCTTAATCTATGCATCAGAAGGGTGGGAGTGAGTGAGTGTTTATTGTCCTAATAAGTCTATAACTGTATAAGTACATGTAGGTCCTTTTTGCCTACAGGCCCAGAGTATCTATGCCTCGGGTTGTGTTCTGGAAGGGGGAGGATGTATCGTTGTAAATACCAAATTTCCGATTTATGTTTACCTCATATAAAATTCTTCATCCTACTCTGAAAAGCCGAGTCTCTGACAACACCCATGATGATGGATGGGTTTTTGTCGATGATCTAACTGTTCAAGCCTTATGTTAAATTACAAGATGGTTGGTCAAACATAATCATCCCTACAATTTAACATAATGGAGTTAGGGTTGTGGTTGTTGGTTGCTTAGGAGTTAAAAAGGGTGAGGCGTCTGTTGATTTTTTTATTTTTTTGCATCAAATTTTAATTGCGTATGCAGCTATCTAGCTATGACACAATATCAGAGAAAAGTACAGAAAGATGACTCAATTTATAATAGGAGCACTCATGCCTCGGATTTCATTTGCAAGTACCACTGCGAAGTTTTGGTGGCTTTTTCTTCACTAAGTCAATCCTCATCCATGAATACCCACTCAGGGGAACATCTCAAAAACCCTGAGTTATCCAGACATGCCTCTGTCATCCATCAAATTTTCTCCACGCGAAATGTTATCTGAGATGTCTCCTTCCCAAGTGGAGTAGGTGCCCATGCTACTCAAACCATACCAGAGAACACCACCAGGAGGCGGACCACAACACCTTCCATCGTTGGCTTGTGTTTATAGTGTCAGCTGCACTCTCGCAAGCGAAGTCTTAGCGCGCACAAAGCTCAATTCGTAAAACTCTTTCCAAAATTCGAAATTTCACGCCCTTCGAGAATGTATTCCTCTTCTGCATCATCTTGTAAACTTGTCCTGATCCCTCTCATATCCATCCCAAAGAGCTATCTCTCAGATTTGTGCGCCACGCTTTGCTTCCTCCGTCGGGTTTAAATATCGGCGTGGGCGTGTATTTGGTGACCGGCTGAGGCCAGAGAAAGTCGACGAGAGGTTTGGTCATTGGAATGAGGATGTACTAGGTCGTACTTGTAGACTTGATGAAGCTTAGTTGAGAATCGGACTCTTTGGGAGTGATAGATTGACATGGTGTAGTAGTTTGAATCATTGCCTCGTGGGCCAACTTCTTTGATATTGCGAAATTTGACTGAACTTGGCTCTGGGAGAATATTTCACTCCCAGGTTCGTAGGACACCACTGACAGGTGTTCAGTCTTGCCCTCCGTCTGTAGATTTTATATACCCTGTATTGGTAGTTTCATATTAGCGCGTGGATGAGACTAGGTGCGAGGTCGCGATACTTCTATTAAGAGCGTAGACGTAAAGACGAAGATACACGCAACGATTCAACCCCATACTTTATCAAATCTCCTTCAAAGTATTCCTGTAACAGTACTACTGAATTACCCGTCTAGAGGAATCATATTCTGATACTTTATTCGTTGAGTGAAACAGATGAGGTAGTGCTTTTTTTTAGTTCATTTTATTGTCCTGTCTGAGTCTGACTATGTAGGATATGCAGGTCCTCTCTGCCAATAGGCCAAGGATACCTATAACAGTAGTATATCCCCTCCTTTTGTTATGATGACGAGGTCATGAGGGGACAGAGGAACACCTGAAATGGATGCAGATGATTGTGGATGCGCGGATATAATTGATGTGACTGTAGTGAGAAGATGCGTTGATTTTCAAACTATCTGCGGAAGTAATGCTTCCTTATATATACATTCAGTACCCCAGTCCTGATCACGCACTCACCACAGCTGCTTCCTACTTCTGTCACAGTAACCACTTCCATAGCCCCTGCCAATATATCCTGTCATAACATTGTCGGAATACTTCAAGTGTACGGGTTTCGTGACAAGCTTGTTGTAACAATATTCGTATCAATTGATTCCTGTCTAACTCCCTCCCTCCTAAGGAACATCTAATAATTACATTGGGGAGCCAATTTCTTATTCCCGGCGCTATTCTATATAAGGAAATATTATGATAATAAGGCACGTGATATGATATAGAACTTTAATCAGACACTGGCAACAAAAATAAAAAATAAAAAATAGAGGCCATGAAGACAGAGCTTCATTTAGACTGGCTGCTTCGCTCCACCCATCCATTGCTCTCAATTTTCAGGTAGTTAGAATGGACAAGTTCTTTTAAGGCATGACAACATTTGGATTTGGTCATGGCATCCGCTGGGTTAGTTTCCCCATCAATCCAACGGATCTCGGCAATTTCTCGTCTCTCGTACGACTGACGAAGAGACATTAAGTCTACCATAAGTCTCTTTTCTTGAGCTGTTCCGAGTTTTACAAGGCAATCATATAAAGACTTTGAATCGGTACATAGAACTAACGGTAATTGCGCTTGTAAGATCTTATTGAGAGTTGACTTAATCGATGCGGTAATATCGAAGCCATGGACCATTCCATACAGTTCTGCTGCTAAAACACTCCGTGTAATTCTTTTACATTTGATGGATGACCAGTGAATTATATTTGCCCTGTTATCATCATCTGCGAGAACTATGACAAATCCGATTTGAGAAGAATAGTCATGATTATTTGCAAATGATGAGTCGGTAAATACAATAACCTTTAAAGAATTTCTATTGAGCCTTACATATTTTAGGCCTCTAAGAGGGTTGTCAGACTGCTACTTGAGCCTTTTATTCAGTAAATTTATGTCGACTAGGCTCGGGCAGGTTGTTTGAGCAGCAAAAGACAAATCAAAAGTTGCTTCTGGCTGACAAACGCTTGCGATGTATGCTCCACGCGCTCTCTGGGCGATGTACTGATCCTTTGTTGACAAATTTCTTCTAATACTGCCTCTAGAGCTAACAATATCAATTGCATTTGAATCAATAATTTTTAGGTTCTTTGTTGTAAAGTGTGTATGGGTTCTAAGAGGAAACTCACTCAAAGAATATAGGCACAGCTTCAAAGTACTTCGTAGTAGTTCAATCAAATAAATTATTCACGTAAATCGTTCTTATTATATTATATTATTTTTTTGGTCAGAATATTAAAGAATGCTACATCTAGGTTTCTCCATATTACTCGTGTTCTTTGTCTGACGCTAAAACCAATTTCAGTCTAGTGCAATTGTGCGCCAAGTTATTCCTAAGCAGCCTTGCCGATCATCACCTACAATTGTGTAGCTCTAGAGTAAGCAACTGGTGCGAAATTCCAACACTCCTCCTAAGCAGTTAGTTTGCCGGATAAATCTACACAAGCTGGAACAATTGACAGCACAAAGGCTTTGCCTTCGATTGAGGCAGTGGTTTGGTCAATAAATCGGCCAACATCATGTTAGTGGGAGTATACTTTACTCTGATCTTTTTATCTTCAATACATTCCCTAATAAAATGGTATGCGACGTCGATGTGTTTGGTCTTAGCAGAGTCTGTTCCTCCGGCAATTGACAGCGCACTCTGATTATCACTTAGAGTTAATAGACCATCATCGCTCATAAGTGCATTTCCAACGTGAAGTTCCCTAAGAAGACGAATCA